CAAGGTGGTGGGCATTAAAGATATTTCAGAGGTAATTGCTGGCTTTGAGACAACGGGGTTTCCAAACTGTGTTGGGGCTATTGACAGGACTCATATGCCCATAGTTTGCTCTCCTCAATGAGCACATGAGCACATAAACTGCAAAGGGTACTACTCCATTGTTATGTAGGTCCTCCTGGACCACAGAGGCTGATTTATGAATGTCTACATGGACTGTACTCGACAAGTTCACGATGCCAGAGTTTTTGCTGCTCGGAAATTTACATTCATGGACAACTGGGACACTATTCCCACCAAATGACATTGACATAAATGGAGTTACTGACCCCACTGTTATTCTGGGGGACCCTGTGTTTACCGTTTTTTGCCTTGGCTTATGAAACTATACCCTGATTTCAGAGGCCCTGGCAAAAGAAAGTTTAATTGCAGGTTTAGAATGGTTGTGGAATGTGCTTTTGACAGATTAAAATCACGTTGGAGATGTTTACAGACCCATTTGGATCCCAGTGAAACTAATGCTGTCCTCATGACAGTGCCTTGCTATGCTCTTCACAACATTTGTGCAGCTGAAGGTGAGTCATTTCCCCCAGCGAGGGGCCGTTGAATTGAGCCAGAAAGTGCAGCTATCACTGCAGGAGCTGGTTGCACCTGGGCAGCAGAAGTCAGGGATGCTTTGTGTTCTCACATTATGGACTTGGCCCAATGGAAGAGGAGGAATAGTACCTGTACAAATACACTTTTGCAAGGGGAGGGAGGCTAGTTAAATGTTGGTGTGGGGCATTTAGTGCTTTGGAGGGTGTGTGGGCTTGATTGCCATGTGATGTAATTATGAATGACAATGACTAATGAATTTGGGGGGCAATTTGTATGGAATGTATTGAAATGTGAATTGCTGTACCTTGGTAAATAGAAGAATACCATTTGTTTACTGATGTATAATTGCTCCTGATCATGTTTTTAGCTTTGTCATCGGAAATCATGGTTGTATCAAGTGATGCAGTGATAGCAATAAAGGTTTTAATTGTCAATGGGTATTAAAACACTCCAAAACAAGTACCAGAAGAATATTTTCTAAAAATAAAATGCTAGAAATACTGCAAACCTGACTCAAACCCCCTACCTCTATATGCTTCCTGGCCCTGTTTTCCATGCACTTGGCACGTAAGAGGGAGGTGGAGGTTTCCACAGGAGGGGGTTGGAGAAGGAAGGCTTTGCATTGCTGCTTACAGCAGACATCCCTCCCATTACTATAATAATAAACTGTAAAATGGAGTCATACACCTACCGGGCTCTGAGGTGGCTTCTGACTCCACCATGTTTGCTGTAAGCTCCTCAGCAGGGGAACAAAGAGGGTGGGAAGGAATCAAACAGCTCTTCCAAGTAAGGACTTTGAATTTGCTGTTGATCCTGACCCACAGCCTGCTCAAGGACAGGTTTCATAAACAAAGTCACTTCATGCACCTCACTGGGAGTCTGCTGCTGGCTCCCATCAGTCCCCAGGCTGGATTCAGGGGTCATCAGGGCACCATCCCGGCTGACCAGGTTGTCATGAAGCATGGCTGACTCCATGCTAGGCACAGTGCCCGCACCCAGTCAAACTTCTTATCATATAGGCATATAGTTGGTGAGTTGCCTGATGTGAAATTCTTGTCCCTGGTCTTCTGGTACTTGCTCTTCCACCTCTTAATATGCTTCCTGCACTGATCCCAGAAAATCTTCAGAGCTTCCAGCTTTTTTAGCTATCTGCTGGCACATGTGGTCATTCCTGGTGCTTTTGCTGAAGTTCACAGTTTTATTGGCCTCACACCAGAGAATCACCAAAATCTGGCTGTGCTTCCATGACCATGAAGCAGCACGTTTTGCAAAAATCTTGCTCTGCTTGGTCTCCATTGCAAATCCAGGAGGCTCTCCGATACTGTGCTTGCAGTTTGGTGATCAGAAGAGAATGGCTTAACGCTGACCTGAGCTGCTGCAGTATGCCAAGGGGTGGAAGGAGGGGGGCTTCTGTTTTCAATAGAGTGGATTGGAGATTGTTGGGATAGAAAGGACTAAGGATGTTGGCTCCTGGAATTGTGGGATACTTCTGGCCGACTCCCAGGACACGAGTAAAGTGGGGCTGCAAAGCAATCGGTCTCAAACCCTGGATCCCACTTGACTCATGCTCAGACCCTGCAGGGTCATGGGACCCTGGGTCTGAGCCTTGGTTAGCACAATTGAAGTAGACACAAGGGGTGTTAGGCTTGAGCCTGAGCTTAAGCATGGGCTTTCATTGCAGTGTAGACATACCCCTAGGGACCAGAGCAGTCTGACGTTTTCGGTTAGTTGAGGATATGGATATATGATTTTAAGGGCAGCCAGATAGTCATTCTTCATAGCAGAGGAATCTCAGAAATCATTTTTAGAAACACTGAAGAACAACTAAAGTATTGGAGAATACTCTCTCAATGATACTCAACTCCAATCACAATCCAAGTGATATCATAATTTAAGGGAGCAGAGAAACTTGACACACATATGGTCTGACACGTTTGGAGGCACTGTTACCAAAATGTGATAACTTTTCAGCACTTAATGTGATTGTGATTTGTTCCCGTGAAGTGTGCATGATTCTTAAATATTCTTACATTACTAAGAACTAGGATGCCATAAATCATATTTTCAGTATCTTCAGCTTTTCTGATTAACCATGCCAAGCTTTGGAAGCACATGGAATTGAGAAATCTAGCTTGGTGCCTCTTTATAAGCCAAATATTTTTCAGACATCCATTTGTCTTATTCTATGTCCAGTTACTATCTGTAGCCTTTCATAAATCTCATTGCTTATGAATATACACTCAAAAAGATTGTCTGTAACCAAAATTACTGGTATTTTGCAAACACAATTAATTAATAATATCTTGATCTTGAAAAGCTATGAGGCACTTCCTTCACTAACATAGACCAGAAATTACTCAAGGGAAGTTATTGTGTCAATCTTAAAACATTATTTTTTCTGGGTTCTCACCCAATTTTTTCTTTCAGTTCCCAAGTTATATGTCAGTTAATGTATTTGCCAGTTTCTATTCTATTGCTCAGCAACTGTTTTCTGTTAATGAACTGTCAGTTTGAACAAATCTTGTGCATGGTTTGGGAGAAGAGAAACCATTGTCTTTTCTGAGTTCATCTTCAGACATACTTTAGGGATTTTTTAAAGTATGTGCTCACTTTTGAGCTTCAACTTTGCTCTATTGCCATGTCAGCAGAAAACAAAGAAGTGTGGAATAATTTTTACCTGAGGCAGCTAGGGTGATCAGACAGCAAGTATGAAAAATCAGGACGGGGGTGGGGGGGTAATAGGAGCCTATATAAGAAAAAGACCTAAAAATCGGGACTGTCCCTATAAAATCAGGACATCTGGTCACCCTAGAACCAGCCATTGGGAGCGTCATCGAATATGGGGAAATTCTCTCAACTATGACAAGGATGACTAGACCTTCAGTATAAACATGCTTAAGGTGTATATATGTAAACAGGATCTGAAGGATCTCTCCCCTGCCCTTTCTTGATGAAGTGGGGGGAAAGACCTCAGATGCAGACTGTATTTGCATAGACATTCCTACTTTGCCTAGGAGATCAGCTGTGGCTGTTTTGGATTAAAATTCACTTTAGTGTAGGATGCAGGTTGGATGCAGGGGGTAATGAAATGTTGTTGTTCTTATTGTATGACTAATGGGCCAGAAAATTGTACTTAATATGCCCTAATTGAGGGGTCACCTAAATTTAATTTCACATGCTGAGTGGAGGGTAATGATACCAAATCCAAGTGAAAGTGCTCCTATTTGGTTGTGTGGATTTATTTAAAACATTCTAGATACAATTGGACATCCTCCCCGCTCCATCTCCAGTATTTAAAGACAAAGCTGATCAGACTCATGGGAGAGTCCTTGTTTCAGCTCAGTGATCACTAGAGCTGAAATCACGGATGAGCAGATTGAGGGGGCAAAGCCTTAGACCCTGGTGTGGGGACAGTGTTGCAAAAGACAATGCAGTGGATAAAGCAGCAGTGAGGTTCCCCACTACGCAGTGAAATCACTAAGAACTAGTGGCACCTCATAACATGGCATCAGTGCTAGGGGCAGAGGTGGAAGCAGGTCGTGAGCAGCCGCAGTGACAACATCAAGCAGTGGCAGAGACAACAGCAACAGTGGTGAGCCAGGGTGAGGGCTGTAGATGCTCCCTTCAGGATGGGAGGTGAATCAACGTGAATGCACAGAATTCTGGGACTTTGCTGACTTTGGCCAACCAATTATGAATGGGGTGCAGCGGAGGGACGAGGGAGTGGTGTGTTAAAGCAACATTTGTCCATTGGACTTTCACAGCACAAGATGGGAAACTGAGGCAAAGGCAACACCCAAGATCCCATGGGGCAGGAGTCACTTATGGTTTGCATACTTTTGAATCATTGTTGCAGTGTTTTCTCAAATTAATGCGGAGTTCTCTCTCCCTCTTAATAATAGTTCGCTTTTGTTCTACTCAAGCTCAGTGCTTGTGAGTGGGGTAGTATTGCCTCTTAGAGGTGCCTGTGATGATGGTTGGTTAGTTTTCCCAGTCTTCTGGGTTGGGGCTTGAGCTTATTCCTTTTTGTAATGTTAAAAGGGACCCCTAAATATTGAACCTGGCCCCTGTTGCTGCCAACACTACCTGACAGAAGGGTTAAATATAAACGTGCTATAATCATTTATATTTTAAGACGTTTTTCCAAAAGAGAAAAAGGATGGTTTTGTGATTAGGCCCTGGAGTGGCACTCAGCAGATATGGGTTTTATTACATGTTCTGATATGACTTGCTCTGTGATCTTGAGCAAGTCATTTACCTTTTCTGTGCATCTGTTTCCTTATCTGTAATACAGAAATGTTATTTACCTTTGTGATGCTGTATGAATGAAATATGACCCACCCACTGAGCCTTCCTGTGGAGGCTTTAGAAAGAATATGAGAAATAGCTGCTCCTGTGAGTCATCAAAGCATGTGACTTACTCGTGTGACCCTGGACTCCACCTTGTGCCTGTAATTTTCCACCAACTGAGACTGGGAGCTTTGTTTGGGACAGTAAAATTCCATCCACGTGGGAGAGGGCATAAAAGACCCTGGAAACATCTTCATTTTGTCTTCATTTCCTGCTTCATTTCTCTGCACTGGATTTCTGAAGGAAGCTCTAAATGAGGACTGATGACCCCCAAGCTGTTTGGGTAATTTCCAGAGAGTTTTGCAAAATAGCAGTTTATTCCATCACTGCTTCAAAACTCATATAAGAACTTTGCAATCACTTGCATGCATGTGATTTCCTTAACCATTTTAACTCTCTATTTCTTTTCTCTTTATAAATAAACCTTTAGATTTGCTTACTACAGGATTGGCAGCAGCGTGACCATTGGGTAAGAGCTGTGTTACATATTGAGCTGGCTGTGTAGCTGGTGTCTTGACATCAGAAGAACAATTTGTTTGATGAAATTGGTTTTCAGTTAACCATAAAGTCCAATGTCTGGGTGGTGAGATAAGGGTTGGGATGCCTAAGGAGACTGTATTTTTGATTTCTTGTTAACCAGTGTGGTGAGACAGAAGTTTACTTTTGTTACTGGCTTGATATATCTAATGGTAGAATAACCACCAGTTTGGGTCCTGTGGCATCTTTAAGACTAACAGAAGTATTGGAGCATAAGCTTTCGTGGGTGAATGCCCACTTCGTCATCCGCAAGCGGGCATTCACCCACGAAAGCTTATGCTCCAATACTTCTGTTAGTCTTAAAGGTGCCACAGGACCCTCTGTTGCTTTTTACAGATTCAGACTAACATGGCTACCCCTCTGATACTTGACACCAGTTTGGGGTGAGTCTGCCCTATTTCTCAGCAGTTTGTCCTGAATCTGACATCCTCAGCTGTGACCCACTGAGGCACAGTGACAAGTTTATCTCACAGGAATGTTGTACAGGTAAGTGCATTCATGTTTGTGAGGCACTAAGAAATAAAGGGCCATGAAAACCCTCTTAATAAGTGCATACATAGCACATTTAATAAATGGAACACAGCATTGTTTTGCATAGTGTTTTTCATATACTTGAGGTAGGTCTAAGGAGAATGTGGGGATAAATGCCTTATGGGCCCATGACAAGGTTGCACTGATGTCTGTATTTCCTCAAACACTCCAATTCTCCACTCACCCCAACCATTGTTTACCTGTGAGCTTGTATGTGAGTGAGTGAATGTGCCTCAGGCTTAATTGTGGAAGGCTATGGCTAATGCTTAACCATGCTTGCTTTCACATAAAGCCTCCGCGGTCTATTTTACCCAACGCACAGATTTTGCACATTCTAGCACAATGTACAGCAGAACTTTCAAGATTAACTATGCAGGGGTCTCTCCTTAATTATCAGTATAACATTCCCAAGAGGCTTGTGTGTGGTAATGTATTTTGAATGTTTTTTAGGAAGAATAACAGGCAGCCAAAGCACTGCGCCTGACACAGAGGACAATCTGCAGACAACAGAAGATATATGCACATATGTCAAAAATATGCAGAGTATGTCCCTAAATCATTTTTATACCTATAAATATGGACAGATTTAAATGCACAAACAACTTTGCACAAAGTCACAGCTTTACAAATGTCTAAAACTAGCAGGATTCAAGGGCACATATGGGGAAGACATGATGTGTTTTGCAGGATAGAGTTACAAGTAATATACATTTCCACAAGCTACAAGCAGAAAAGTTGAATGCATATATTTATAAAAGGGGTTTGAAGAGCTGAATGATTTAGCAGAAAGAGAATATGAAATAAAAGAAGCAGCTCCATTTAATAGTAAGCACAGTAATTAGAATTTCTACTCTGAATATTACAGAAAAGAAAATGTTCATGAAAAGGGGAATACCTAGGCTTTACTAACTCATTGCTGATGTAAAGTGAACATTTAAATGGGCAAGAATTTTGTGAATGTTGGGCATTTCTATAGTTTGATTTGTGTTAAAATATGTATTAAAATATTCTGGAGTCCTAAAAATGTGTAAGTACAAGTGTGTGCTTGAGTCTGTGAAAAAGATCCTTTTTTAGGTTCTAATGAAAAATGTAAATAAGGGCAAGAAACGTTGTCTTTTATTTCAATACATAAGTTGGATTTTCTTTCTGATCTACCCTCTGAGGATTCTTTTTTTCCAGTGTGGGATTGACCATGTACTGTATACTGTCTAACATTTTTTAAATTAAAACCATATGGATGAAATCAATTTATTGTCTTGCAGATGTTGAAATCCAGTCTTGTTTGAGTTTAACTACTTACATAGAATATACATGTTTCCTGTATATCTATTTTGTATCTTTGTAATAATTCACCATATTGCTTTTCATTAGTGTCCTTTTCTGTAATTGTTGCTCATTGTTTATTAAATTTCTAACCATTCAACAACAGTTGTCACATGCACATGCCTGACTGCTCCTTTTATTTTGTCTATCCCACAGTTTGTAAATTTTACGTTGCCCTAACATTTGCAACATACGTAAGTTGTACAAAGGCTACTTTTCACTTGTGGTAGTAAAGAAAGACTTTTCCTTCCTGTAACCTTCCCCAGTAATAAAACAAAGAGCAATTTGACTCTTATTCGAGATTATGAATAGCAGTTGCTGCTTTTTGTTGTTCCTTTATTCCATGCTAGATATGATAGACTCCTCCTCCACAACTGATTTTTTAAGATGATTGTTTAGTTGAACAGAGGTGACAGTTTCATAAATCTACAGGAATCATGTTAGCCAAGATTTTCAAAAATGACAAGTAATTTTGAGCATCTCCTTTTTGGGGGAAGTACCCACCCTCTGAAAACCAGGCCCCTTGAAAGTATTGACATTGTATACCCCAAAATGAAAGTACCCATAACCATTAATCACTTCTGAAAATGTTGGTCTTCAGCTTTTCCTTTTTGTTAGGATTGTGGAGTTGTTTTTAATTCACAATCTGGAGTTCCTGAGAATGCTCCTGGATTCCCAATTAGCGGTGACACCCGGAAATGCTTTTCCCCCTCTGTGCCTGGCCAGGATATTTTCCTCTCAGGTTTAGAACTCAACATAGTTACCATGCCTTTACCTGTAGATCAGTTTACGCTATCTGGGATACCCTTGTAGACCCCTCAGAAACTTCAGCTCGCATAGAATATGCCTGCCTACTCAGTACTGCCTCTCAAATACAACTGATTACACCTGTGCTTCAGAGACTGAAATGTATTCATGTTACTTGGGGTGCCATTCAAAGTGTTATCATCAAATATTACATAGTGTCAGACCTGTCTTTCTTAGAACCTGCCTCTCTTCTTATGAATAGTGTTGGTCGGAAAATGTTCCTACAGGCAATTTGTTGATCTCAAGACATGTAGAATGTCAGTTTTGACAAAATGTTATTTTGGAAAAAAAAAATCAAAATGAAGCATTTCAACTTTATGGGAATGGAACATTTTGATTTTTAATTTCAAGACTTATTGTTTATATTATAATAGAATAAAATATATATCAAATATAATTAACATTACATTGAAAAGGTGAAATGTTCCAAGTGATAGAAAACAACATTTATTTTGGAGGAAATTTTGGCTTTTTGTTCTGATTTTTTTTTCAAAATGTCCAAATTTCCCACCGAATGGAAGTTCCAATTCCTGACCAGTTCGAGTTTTCATCCATCTTATTAGTTAGGGTCAGATGAGATGTTCTTGCTAACAGTTGCAGGTTAGTACACCTATTCAACCTCCCTGAAGCAAGAGTCTGAGAAAACTGATAGCTCCCGTAAATCACTACCTGTGAGTTGTCACTACTCAGTTGAATCGTTTAATTCAATAAGAGAATGAGAATGCAAAGTGAAGTGTAAAATGCTGCCATTCATGGTGAAATTCTGTGCTGCACATCTAAGAGGCTGTCCTTATTTTTTATTTAAAGAGGCACAGCACAATGAGGCTACAGTCATTTTAAATCCTATTTGTACCCTCCTGATTCTGCCCTGCTGCAGTGGCAGGAGCAGCCACTACCATAATTTAGAAAGTCTAAGGGGGACGATGCTTAAGTTTTGGCAGCCTGTCCCGAGCTACCCAGAATCTTTTCAATGCTAGGTGCTGTGGCTGTACCCCCAGCTCTGGAACCTTCCCTCCATGCCTGTGTTTGTGAAGGGGTCCTTGGGAGAGCCTGTGGCTCAGTCTGAAAACGTCATATAAAATCAAATTCCTTTTTCTTTTTCAAGAGAAAGGGAAGAAGAAATTATCTGATGTTAGAGCAGGGGAAAAGGACAGTTAGAAAATGGAGCAAATTACCAAGGGAGGTTGTGAAATTTCCATCCCTGGAGATATATAAGGCTAGATTTGACATGTATCTATTAGAGATGGCTAAAGGATAATGAAATCATCCCTGCCATGATGCAAGGGGATTAACTATATGACTAACCGGAGGTCCTTTCTAACCCAGTGCTCTGTAATTGCTGAGTTGTAGAAATCCACAAATGCTCAGTGTCCAATGTTCATGAAAATATATATTGCTTGCTGGAAAGAAAGTTATAGTAAGATACTGTCTATCTTCATAAACACTGATGAAACAATGGTAAAATGCAATTGAAATTGAGATTGTAGCTGTTAATGAGGCTATAAAAACATTTTTCTAAACTGTAATACACAAGCAGTTGCATATGTTCATTTTAACAAAATGTATAAAGATTGTAGAAGTTCAAAGACCATTATTTTAACCACTAACATGTGTCTTGGGAAAGAACTGATGTTGCTTTTATTCCCAAACAAGGAACACGAGCAGAATATTATTATCCTATCTGATCATTAAAAGAATATTTTCAACTTTGTCAGAACATCATAAATGCTATGATGTATATTCAGTTTGGGGAAAAAAATCTTTTGGGTGTCACTAAGTTTTCCACATTGCTTCATCAAAGACAGTAAGGGAGATTAGGTTTCTAAGAAGTACAAAAGTGCTGTAGTTTGAAAGTGAAGATTTTATAGACCAGATTTTTAATTGGCCTAAATAAACATGGCTCCAATGACTTCAGTGGAGCTATTTGATTTACTCCAGCTGAAATTCTGGCCTTATATTTTGTCTGACTTTGTTGACTATGTACAATTCCCACATTAACTCCTGCTTCGGAAAGAACACAAGTGTTTGCAAGCTGTTTGCTTGCTTGCTTTTACAAGGTTTTTGTTTTTTTTGTTTTCACAATTTTTGAACATGGATGAGTGTTTGTAAATGAAAATTTGATGCTCTCATTTTATTTTAAATAAAATAAACTCCTTGTTAACCCTGTTCGCCTTACTTCGGTCTTACCCTCAGAAATAAGTAGATTGAATCGAAATTACTTTTTCATTCTCTGCAATTTTGATTTACAAACAGAAAATTCCCTTTGTTTTGGCTAAAGAGAAGTTTATTTTTATAGATTACAGATTGAACTAGAGTGCCAAATATATATTCAGATGGGGAATCGAGAAGGCCTTTTCTTTTAAAACAGATTTTTCAGCCTCATTTACTATAGAGATTAGAAATTTTAATTAATGTATTTTTTTCTGCACTTCCTCTCCTTTGCAAGTGTAATCCACTTCTGGGCCACCCCTGATTCCATCTCTCGTTGAGCCTTGGGAAACTCTGTTCAATGAGAGGATAAGTCACTCTTTCAAAAACTCAGTGTAATATATCTTAAATCTATTTAAATTTGGTCCTGGCTTGTTGGTATGGATTGAAACCTTGCTTGGCATTGATTGAAACCCTTCTTTTCAAGCTTCCTGTGGATTTTGCGGTGCATGGACACGAGATTCTTCACATAAAGAATCCATCTAGGCTGTGAATTTCAGAATACAGTAATAGCTAAACATTCTCACCTAAATGTTCAAAAGTGCATGGTGCAAAAATATATCTGTACTTACGTTTGCCCACACCCATGCATGTCCAATCCTTGGCGCATGTACATGTTGGGGATGACATGCGTAGAAGTCAGTCACATTTGTATGGCTACTTTAGAAAATGTGGGCCTCTCTGGGTATGTCTACATCAGTATAAGAGCCCCACAGCATGGCCATGGCTAACGAGGGTCAGCTGACTTGGGCTCGCAGGGCTCAGGCAGGGGAGCTAAAAATCTCTAGATGTTTGGGCTCAGGCTGGATCCTGAGCTCTGGGATGCTCCACTCTCTCAAGGTTCCAAATTTCGGGCTCCAGCCCAAGCCCAAACATCTACAGAACAAGTTTTCAGCCCCAGAGCCTGAGCCCCATAAACCTGAGTCAGCTGACCCAAGCCAGCAGAGAGTTTTTTATCCCTGTGTAGATGTACTCCGTGTTGTTTTCTGTATAACTTTTATAATGCAAGTGATGGTTACACTAGGTGATTAAAATATTTTAAGGCACGTTGCACTTTCCAAAATCCACATGCTGAAAAGTTAAAGGTTACTATAACCTATTGGAATAATGCCTACCTGTATCCAAATAGTTCAATAACATCATTTAGACTAAAAGTATTTTCTGACACATCAGACAATAAGCATATTTCTTTACTTGTTTGCTTTTCATCTTTACTTATTACTGAAAGTATTTATGTTTTAAAAGCACCTGCTCTCTCCTAAACTATTTTCTCTCAGCAGTTCATTCTATGGTCAACTCACAATGCTGAATTTGGGACCTCCCAATCCTTTTGTGGCAACAGACTGTCACCACAAACACAGGATTATGAATTATTGCTGGAAGAAGCAAAAAGATGGAATGCTGTGAAAGTGATTGACAAGAAAACACCAATAAAAGATATCCCCTCGCCCACTTGGTCTCTCTAATTGCCCTTCAACACGGATATAATTTGTTGGCCAGATTCTGCTTTCACTTACCAGCTCCACTGAAGCTGGTGGAATTAATTTACATTTACACTGGTGTAGCTGAGAGCAGGAGCTGGCTTTGGTTTAGTAATTTAAGGCAATGAATGAGACTTTAGAAAAAAGAAACCCACCAATATGGACCAAATTCATCCAGAATGTGACTCTGTTGAGCTCAATGGAGTTTCATACAGTATGAATGAATTTTGAATGTATCAGCAGGCTCACCAGACAGGAAAATTGCATCTGCCTTTTTTTCCCCTCTCTCCTCCCTTCTCTTCCCCAAATCTCGTTCTCATTTTTGAATGCTTTGTAAAGCAGAGATCATGTTACTGTGTGCAGATGGGGCTCTCCACGGTCAGATTTCCCCTGTCTTATGCAAAGGGGAGAGATGTCTGTCACCATTATGATCTCCACCCCACTTTCTGGGAGATGGCAGAGGGTGGAGCTCAGGCTGGAGGCAGGCCGTGGAGCCTATTGCCCAGTGTGTGCCCCACTCTAAGTGGCTCTTGATGACAGCTGCCACCAGGCAAGAGCCTGTTACC